GTATCACGTAGTATACGAATAGGGAAAGAACGAGACCCGTCTATGATTGAAATTTTTCCCTCATAGGTGAATGAAGAGAAGAGATCCTGATGGGGCCTTTCCACATTGGTGGTTGCTATTGGTTTGGCTTTGGGATCCAGGGAACTACTTTTAGTAGTTCGACACTTTGGGTGTTTACAAGACTGGATCGTATGGCCTGGTTTTTTACAGTAAGAACAATAAAACTTGGTTGCATCAGGGGGGGTAGGTGTGGGACCTTTCGACCTACCACTCACGTCCCCAAGGTTATCATCAGAGGAGGACCTAACATGCTGGAAAGTACCACGTTCCCTACTGCCCAGTGACTCCACCAGCAAGGCGTACGCATCAGCCACCTCAGCCGCACGCCCTAAATTAACCTCTCCACGCTCCTCCACATGCTTCAAGATGTGAAATGGTATCTTGCTCTTCCACTCCTCCAGGACTACCAAGTTTAACAAATCCTGAAATGTGGAGGTCTCTGTAGCCTCTAACCACTTCTTAAAAAACCTAAGCTTTTCTTGAGCAAACTCAACAAAGGTGTGTGAAAATGGTTTGGTTAGTTTACGAAACTTCTGCCGGTATCCATCTGGCGTGATAGCATAAGAGGTGAGGATATTCTTTTTTACGTTATCATAGTCATCAGTCTGGTCTAAACAGTTATAAACTCTACGAGCCTTACCACATAATTTAGGAACTAACACCGACACCCACTGGTCCTTTGGCCACTCATTCTTCCCGGCTATTTTCTCAAAAGTCCTAAATGACCCGTCCATATCGGATTCATCAAACCCGGGAACAAGGGAAGAAGCATTAGCAGGGTTAAAAGCAGCTAGTTTCTCTTTTAATGCCACTTCTTTTGATTTAAACTCCGATGTTAAGGTGACTTCTGTCTCTCTCACCTGTAGTTCTTTCAGTCTAACCTCCTGCTCCAACTTGGCCTGTTCCAACCTTTCCTCATGCTCCAACTTGGCCTGTTCCGACCTTCCTCATGCTCTAACTTTTGCTCCAACTTGGCCTGTTCAACATTCCCTCATGCTCCAACGGCTGGCTCCAACAGCCTGTTCAACTTGGCCTGTTCCAGCCTTTCCCTCCTGCTCCAACTGGCCTGTTCCAACTTTCCTCCTGCTCCCAGCCGGCCTGTTCCAACTTTCTCATGCTCCAACTTGGCCTGTTCCAACTTTTCTAATGCTCCAACTTGTACTCCATCTTGGCCTGTTCCAACTTGGCCTGTTCCTTTTTCCTCATGTTCCCAGCAGCCTGTTCCAACTTTTCCTCCTGCTCCAACAGCCTGTTCCAACTTTTCCTCATGCTCCAACGGCCTGTTCCAACTTGTTCCTCCTGCTCCAACTTGGTCTGTTCCAACTCGAGTTCTTTCATTTTGATTTGGAACTCGAACCTAGTTATTCTAGTTCTAAAGGCGTCTACTCTTTGTGCTTTTTTTTCTTGAGGGCTATAGCCAGACTGAGGCAACTTCTGAGAGTGAGGAAGGTGGTGGATAGTGGTGAAGTTTCTTGGACATGGGCGTTAATCAGTCAACTGTAGTTCTTTTTAAAACTTCTTGTTGAACCAACATTTCAATATACCCTTGATTTTTAACATTTCCTTAGTCAGTTGTTTGTGAAAATGGGATATTGTAATAGTTGGCTATTTCTTTCCATTCTTTCTTCCAGGATATTAACACGTAATTTGCTTCGGAGGATTTTCCAATAAAATCCTGGAGATCCAAAACCAAGGGTGGCCATTGTTAAGAAAACTAGGATAAATTAACTAATGGTCAAAAGATAGACAAAGTGGATTACCTAGAAAATAGCACGGCAGTGGATAACCCAGAAGTCCGGAAACTAACCAAGTTATACCTAGGAAATTACACTTATGAATATTGTTCTTCTGATAAGATCATAGATAAGGCTAAGAGACTTGAAACAGGAAGGGCGTGTCTGATTAATATAAAAGATCGGCGGATTAACAACCCTTGAATGCTTGGAAACAGGAAGGGCGTATTACGGCATTAATATAAAAGATCGGATTAACGACCATAAATGCCAGAAAGAGGAAGGGCGTATTACGGCATTTATATAAAGATCCGGATTAACAACCCTTGAGTAAACAGGAAGGGCGTATTACGGCATTAATATAAAGATCCGGATTAACAACCCTTGAGTTACTTTATTATTGACCCCGAATGAGATAATGAGAAGAACAATAATTGAGGCTTTATAATTATGGGGTCCTGGTAGAGAGGGGCGCCCCAAGATATCACTTCACCTAAACTAGTGACTATGGAACAGCCTACTCTGGAGCGAGGGTATGGCATTAAACAGATCCGGATTCTTCCCTACACTCGATAAGACTTACTACACGACTGCCACGTGTAATAACAGGTAAGCCTTATGACACTTGGAACCTAATATCCTACGTCTGTCACTCTTACTGTACGATAATACCAATTTATGCACACACATATGAAGGAAACTTTAAACCACCGGAAAGCAATTGTGAACAGAAGTGACTGGGAGGAATAATTAACAATGAGTAACAAGGGGGTAAGGAATATGGCACTTAAGGTCGGGTCCTGTCACGGTCACCATTTGTTACGAGTTGGGGATTTAGAATATAGTTAAAAGTCTACCCAGATCCCAACAGGGAACAACAATAAAAAACAAAGACAATCGGACTATAAAAGGGTAGACAAAGGATGCGAGTTTTTGTTGTGTATAATAAAGTACCATAAATTCCTTAACAAATTATTCAGCTTTCTATAAATTTACCCTTAACCATACTTAACCTAAACATTAACAGTATATACATATTTATACAACATACAATAATTTGAAGCAAGGTGGAGGTGGGGAGGCAATATAAGATTACAAATACTTAAGTGCGGAGCTGAGATGGCTGACGAGTAAGGCTGAGTATTGTAGAAGACGGTAGGTAGTCACTGTGCCGTAGGTTTCCAGGATAGGTGATCCTGTGGTCACTTCCCAGAGTGAACTGAACTCTCATCGAACTGGAGCTGATGAAGAAGACTTGTAGGAGGTGACGCAACAACCAGGATATGGAGAAGGGAAACCCCGGAGTGGTAACTAAGACTAGTCATACTCGTGTTTCGTCCCTAGATGGCGTTGCTCGTGGTGCTGGGTAGGTAGATCAGGACAATAGATGGCGTGGTTCGTAACACAATATATATATATATATATATATATATATATATATATATATATATATATATATATATATATATATATATATATATATATATATATATATATATATATATATAAGCTGGTACTCTAAACATACACTGTATAGTAGGTAGTTCGTGGTGTTTAAGTTAGAACTTTAATATTTTTTCCCTGGTGTTCCCAGCTGCTGATCACGTCTATGTAAACACCGACTGTGGCGATGACGAGGACGACGACCACGTCTACATGTACCGGGACTAACGAGGACGACGACCACTTCTATATGTACCTGGACTGACGAGGACGACGACTACGCCTACATGACGAGGATGAATTCAATATTTACACTAGTAACCAAAACTACAATGATCGTCCTGCTCTAATATATTCCAGACCAAATATTTTACTTCTCTTATAAACACCAATATATAATAAAGGAATGTTATTATTTATCGGGAGCTGCTGTGATACTGAAGTGCGGTGGTCGAGTGGATAAATCGCTCGCCATCTGTCCCATGGATCGATCCCGTGCTCTCTCAACTCACCCAGCTGTAAACAGGTACACAAGTATCTACAAGGTAGGGTCACATGGATGTCAAAATAAACACTGCGACTACTGTTGTCTCGGTAGTGAGTGTTCCTAAGTTAACAACACTGACCCTAACGACCTCTTATGCCTATGGGGATCAACTTTTAATGTGTTATGAGAAGACCTGACCTCCTGCAGTTGTTGAACCTGTACTGTACATGATGGTGCTGAAGAGAAACGTAACAGACAGACCAGTAGACTAAAAGTGAAGGGTGAAGTGATAAAACTGTTGAACTCTGTAGCGGAAGATTTCCTTTATTAACTGTAAATATTATATTATTGTTTTTCTGGGGAAATTGGTCTTGACTTACGTCTCCTTAAGAAACATAACAGGAAGCAACTCTGAGGAACGTCTATAATTGTATTAGTTGAAACGTTTGACTGTAAAATGTATGTATGTATGTATGTATGTATATATGTATGCATGTATGTATTAAGATCATTATATTACTTGTTCCAGCACCCTATCCTTCGTGATCTAGAAAATTAAATCTTGTATATCAAAATCTGCTGTTTAAATTGTCGTTTATCATCATAAGATACACAACTTATATCTAAAGAAGGTGAGGTGAAGTGAGGTTTGGTGTGAATCTATTCATTTGTACATAATATGAACATGTTAATATTAAAAACAATAATAATTATATATATATATCAACGACCTCACCGGCCAGGACTCGAACCCTGGACCTAATGCATTGGACCAGTGAATGCTACCAACCATACCACAAGAGAACTAAAAGCAGTTCTAGACTATGTGATATTTCACACAAAGCCTGTTCATCGAGCTGATGGCGCCGTGAAACTCTCATTGGGAACTGCCCGTGCTGCTTATGTGGATGTCAGTAGCATTTTACCGAATCCAGCAGGTCGAGGGTTCGAGTCCTGGCGGTGAGGTCGTTGATTATATGTTGAAGTCCGTGTGCTATATGGACTAAATGAAATATATTCAGTATATTTACACACACACACACACACACACACACACACACACACACATATATATATATATATATATGACCACTTAGAATAATTTCATCTGTCAGCATAAATAAAGATCCTCTAAGTGATTTAGTGGTTCATCTCAGAGGGTTGTAAGACTTTGGCTTAATGTCACAACTTCTCGAAGTAGTACAACACATTATATGATCAGACAACGACCAACTACTGTGCAGTATTTAAGAACTAATGGTGTATACTACAGGAGAATACTTAAATGTTTTTTTAAATAGTGTTTTATTTAATTACAAAGCCGAACATACAGGTATATTGTTCAATTAACAATAATTCTAACAATAATAATCATCTTCACAAGGTACAGTACTCTAACATTTTTACAACTAAATATTATCACAAAGAACATCCACAGAGCACAAGTGAACAGCACCGCGAGTAAAACTGTCAAGGAAGATGGAGACAGGACCTAAGAGTCATTCCTCAGGAGACAACACAAAATGAGACTAAGTGGCTTATGTTATGATGATTCATTGGTCCGAAGGTTCATTTTTCAGCAGGTTCCTTTCTTCGAAGGTTCAATGTTCCAAAATTCATGTGAGGCTAAACTAGGTTACTAGACTACTGAAGGGGACCAATGAATCTTTAGATTAAGAGTCTGATGATTTGGTCGATTATCCTAACTCGAATTACTATACTGTTTACTATCGTTGTATACCAGCACGGTCTATGTTATACTGTATACCTGCGTTGTCTATACACATGCTGAACTGTATAACTGCATTGTCTATATACATACCAATGGTAATCTTGTATAACGATTTTACTGAAACACTTTACCTTGGAGGTCCAGTTTCCATCGTCTTATCAATGAGGTAACTTAATAATTATGTATCACACAGACAGTCGCATCTCGGAATGGGTTCATATTATCGACTCATCCAATAGAAACCGCTTTATTCATCATGAGTAATGTGACTATACATCTTGGCCTAGTCTCCCTCACACTCCCGTACTCCTGCAGGGTGTGGATGTGGTTTAGGGTGGACCACCAGCACCACCACCATCATTATTATTATCTGTCTGTATTAATCCACAGGCGAAAGAAGTCCTCACCTCTCCATCAGTTCTTCTTGAGTTCGACGATTTTGTCTCCCAAAGAAGGCCTGGAGGGTCTACGTGTGTGAGAACCTCAGCCAGTAGTGAAATAACACGTGTGATGTAGGACATGACAGGGAGCTCGAAGTAAAACACACAACACCGTAGTAAACATCATTCAGAACGGAGTGCTGTACATTGATCAACATGGACTTGTCTCACTATTTCAATATACATGAAATCTGTAGCACCACTGTTAATTTCCACCCTCTTAATGCTATGGTTTGAGTAAATAATATCACCAACGAATTTACATATCGAATAGAATACTAGTTTTATGTTTATAACTAGAGAAAGTGTCAAGAAGTTAAAATTGTGACCTACTATAGGTTTACTTTCATATCAAGAAGACAGACAAGCAAGTGTTACCACCTAGAGAGTAAACCTTGCAATAATACTCACTACGATTCACTTATACAAACACTGATGTTAAGAAGGGTGAATAATAAACATGTAAGTGAGTCAGAAATACCTAGGTCACTTAAATCTGTGGTATTAAGTGAAGATATGATGAGACAGTTTTCTAAGTGAAGCAGAATTGTTTTAACTGTTACAAAAGTGGTTACTAATTGATCATAAGCTGTTCACGTTCGTTCGGGCTGGTGAAAAAGAAAATTATTTAGTCAGTGAGTGAATCCGCCTGTCAGCTAGTGAGTCAGTGAGTGAGGATTTAGTATTCATAAACCTGAATGGAAAAAAGCCCATTTATAATTAAAGAAACACGTTGATTAAGGCTTGGGTGGATTATACCCACTTATTCTTGAGTATCTGGAAAACACAAACCTATTTACAAACGACTGGTTGTAAATAATCACACCTCTGCTTATCAATGAGTCGAAATAACTTGTTGTAAGAGTAACTACAGCCAACACAGACGTACAGACTCTCCTGCTTGAGGTTAACTTTAACGCCTGCCTGTGGACTGACTCGTAGCTTCTGTCAAGAGAGTTTTTCTGAAGACACACAGCTAACTTGGTTCATTTCTGTTGACTGCTTACATTAGGTGAAACTTGAACACATTTGCATACGAGAAAGAAATTTTTCATATCTCCTGTGGTTGGCCTTGGAGTGAATGGCAGGTCTTGTAGTGAGTGGAAGCTCTTGTAATGAGAGCTAACACTCACTACAAAAGCCACCACTCTCTCAGTACCTCTTGTAGTCAGTGGTGGATCTTGTAGTAGGCGGTAACACTTGGAGTAAGGAGTAGTATTAGCTCTAAGTATTAACATAGATAGGGTCGTCGTTGTCCTCGAAGGCACCGTTGTCGTAGATGTGGTTGTCGTCTGAGGGAGAAGTGCAACCATGTCAGTAATGTAAACAACGACTATAGTATAAACAATGGCTGTAATGCAAACAATGGCTATAGTGTAAACAATGACAGTAATGTAAACAATGATTGTAGTATAAATAATAGCTGTAGTGCAAACAATGGCTATAGAGTAGAAATTGCAGTAGTGTAAACAATGACAGTAATGTAAACAATGACAGCCGTGTAAACAATGGCTGTAGGGTAAGCAGTGGCAGTAGTGTAAACAATGGTAGTAAAGTAAACAATGGCAGTAGTGTAAACAATGAGAGTAAACAATACAATATAATGGGGGATAGAATTGTCTGATAAGGAGGCAGTGTGGCACCCATTTACAGCAGGGTGGACTAGGAGTGGCACCCCCGACCATGGATTAAGTGACTCTAAGGCCCGGCTTTCCGACCATAGTGCCAGGGATCTATAGGGTGAGAATCCCTACTCAAAGGACAGTGGGTTAGCACTGTATACACTCAACCACCGCACTCCATACCATCAAAACATACATGTGGAGCACTTCTCTTTCCATGTATGTATGTATGTATGTATGTATGTACGAAACCATCTATATATTTATCAAAACATCATCTTTCATCCTCTCTTACTAGGACACAGTCACCTCAACAGAGAAGGAAGGGAAGGAGGGAGAGAAGGAAGGGAAGGAGGGAGAGAAGGAAGGGAAGGAGGGAGAGAAGGAAGGGAAGGAGGGAGGTAGTGGACGGGGAGGGGGGTAATGGGGGGGGGAGGGAGGGAGGAGGGATATATAGAAATGGTGTTTAAAATGACAAGGGAGAAAAGTTGGAGTGCAATAACCAACACACACACACACACACACACACACACACACACACACACACACACACACACACACACACACACACACACACACACACCCTTTCGACTCTCACTGACCATCACCACGACCTCATCTGCAAATTTGGTAAGAAGCTTCTACACCATCCCCGACACCGGCTCCTACTACCACCTGAGATCCCCTGTCCGAGAATTGCTGTTCGACACCACAACCGCATCCAGCCCATACGTGCACGAACTGATCGCTATAAGAACAGCCCAGTCCCAACCATTGTAAAAATTATCAATAACTTGTAATAGACCAGTGTATTCACTCCCAGTAAACACTACTTCTTGCACTGTCACTATGTTGAAATGAACTGTAGTTTGAGCTTTTCCCCATCGAGTTATTATATATCTTATTTGTATCACTTATGTTACTTGTATATTATTTGTAATTCGTAACCCATTCCCCAAATATGTAACTGTATATTTTCAGCCTTCTGGCTGCCAAGCTCTTTCAATAAACCGTTAATTATTATTATTATTATTATTATTATTATTATTATTACACACACACCTTCTTGTTGTTTGGCCCACAGGTGAGGTGCTTCTAAGTACGCCGAGATGCATTTAGTCAGGTACAAGAACTGTTCCTGTAGGGGAAGAGATGTGAGAGTTATCTTCTGTGTTTATTAGTTACAGAGAGAGAGAGAGAGAGAGAGAGAGAGAGAGAGAGAGAGAGAGAGAACAATAACAATAACACACATACAATCTACAAAGTATGATACGTGAAAATAAGTCAATGAAAAATTAAAGACCTGCAACTGGCCGGTATACCCAAAACTTTTCTGCTAATGACTTAATACTGTAGTTCTGTTAGCCAGCAGTAAAATTTAAAGTTATTTACAAAGCTTAACTAGCAAACTTTTACCTCACAAACAGTTGTTTGTTAAGTACCGCTAAACAGCGCTACAGATAGCAGGAGTTCATCATATAAAATGGTCTTATGGCTGAATAACCTCATTAAAATCATGAAGATTAATTTCATTATTTACATCTTGATCATCAAAAAAAATCTAATCTATGCCGTTTGAAGGAGGATTTATTAACCAAGGATAGTGATCGGTGGCTTAACCTTGCCGTGCAGCATGTAAACGAACATGTTATTAAAGGAGCGGACAAGAGGAACATCACGGACATGGAAGCCTCAACCCACGAAAGAAAAGGAAGCCCATCTGGACAGCAGACCAGACTTTATTATTATTGGTGGATGCAAGTGAAGAAAAAAAAGTTAACATTGAATGGCCGCTTCAAGACTTTCCTCAAAAAAAAAAATAATAATTCGTGCATCATGCACTGAACAGGGCCACCTTGCCACAGTGTCCATTATTTTGTTTGTAGCATCAAACACTACTTGTACATTTATGCTATGGTAGCGTTTCCTGTTAACATATAAATGTTCATTTACACAAGGAACCACAACTTTTATGTGTGTGCCATCAATCGCCCCACAACACTGGGAAACCCACCAATTTCAATTAATTAATTCAGCTTGCTTTCTTTGAATTTCTCATTGAGTGAGTGGGAACTTCACAAATTGACAACAAATGTTTTGTTCAGTTAGTGCATTCAGTGTCTGAGTTATAGTACCGCATGGTAGTTGGCTGAGTGGTTCCAAAATCATCACTGCTTCACAGTTGCATTCATTCTTCCAGTCGCTAAACAACGCAAGGTTATGGCCACTTTCATCTCTGGGGTTAGAGCCCTATTCCTCCCAGCTCTACTCTATAGTGTCTCCCTCACTAAATCAGTCACTGCCATGATACCTGTCCAGTCCAGTCGATATCGCATGATGAGTTCAGAATCACTATTCATTAAATATATCTCTCCTTTCCCGATAAATGTGTTGCCGCCGCTGATGTTGCTGGTGGGTCGCCAGGGTATCAACTAACAGACGACTATTACGGGACTTGAAAGTGCTCCCGAGGTCTTTTAACTAACACAACTATCAAGGCCCATATAAGTTTTGTGTACACCGCCCCTGCTGTTTGAGAGGGGGCTAACTGACCCCTTTATTGTCAGCTACACACACACACACACACACACTCACCGTGGACTGGACCATAATGGGTCGTCGTTTTCTCATCTTCATCACTGTCTGCTTGATGTTGACGTACTCGGTTGTCGTGTCTGCGTCAGCCTCGTCTATTAGGTTCCACAGTCCAATAAACGTCCCTGTCCGTCCCACACCAGCGCTGAGACACAGATAGGAATGGCCTTTACACCAGCGCTGAGACACAGATAGTTATGCCTTTGTACCAGCGCTGAGACACAGATAAGAATGGCCTTTACACTAGCACTGAGACATAGTAATTTGCAATTCTTTTTGTACTGGGACTGTCGAGTGTGAAACTGTGTTGAGGGATGTGATATAGGTGTGATATATTGTGTTGTATTGTGTTATATTGTGTTGTGTTGAGGTATTTTGTGTTGTGTTGTGGTATATTGTGTTGTGATGTGTTGTGGTATATTGTGGTATAGTGTGTTGTGTTGTGGTATATTGTGTTGTGATGTGTTGTGGTATATTGTGGTATATTGTGTTGTGTTGTGGTATATTGTGCTGCGTTGTGTTATGGTAGATTGTGCTGCGTTGTGTTGTGGTAGATTGTGTTGTGATGTGGTATATTGTTTTGTGTTGTGGTATATTGTGTTGTGATGTGTTGTGGTATATTGTGGTATATTGTGTTGTGTTGTCGTATAATGTTATGTATTGTGGTATATTGTGTTGTGTTGTGGTATATTGTGTTGTGTTGTGGTATATTGTGTTGTGTTGTGGTATATTGTGTTGTTGTATATGTCGAAGGTGTTTAGCGCGGCCCCTTACCTACAGTGTACTAGGAGGTGGTCACCATTGGTCGGCATAGTGGAGCGGATATCAGCCATGAAGTCGAGGAGGTCAGTGACGTGTTTTGGAGCTCCGAAGTCTGGCCAGGCGGTGAAGTGGTACTGCTTTACCATCCTCTTCTGCTCACCCTGTGTTGTGTGAGGTGCCGTCAAGACTGAGGCCATAAGTTAATATATCCTGACTCAATGTTAAATTCTTAAGACACTTTATGAAGACAATGATGGCTGATAGAAACTGTTCCAGCTGTTGTTTTGTTTACATTGATTAATATTTAAAGTATGCAAGTATGAAGAGTAACTAATAACAGTACAGACGTAAACACTAACCGCCGCCACCTCCAGGTACCTGATGGAGTACAGTTCTTGCCTCTCCTCCCTGTGGTTGCGGATGATGTAGCTGCCGATGTTGATGCAAGTTTCATTAGGATACATTCTTTCGCAATTGAAATTTACACCCGTACCAACAGTGATTTACAACAGTACAGAACAACATCAACATACTGTACTGTACATAAGAGACGAGTTATTACTTCCAGCTTATCGTCACTTAACATGTGGTGGTGATCGTCACTTGGATGTTCAGTATTCTCGATTTGCTGAAGTACTGTACCATCAATGATCAGCGATGTAGTTTGTTCAGTTATTTCTGTCCTTACAAATCAGGTTTTAGTGTTGTAATAAAACCCTGTCCCTCCCTCCTCCCCCCCTCCCCCGTGCACCTCCTCACCCCCACCCCCGACCTCTCATCTGTGCACCTCCTCATCATCATGCTCCTCATCATGTGCACCTCCTCACACTGTGCAGTTATCTGAGCTATTTACTGGTGCTGTACACTCACCCACTCTCCCACCTCACATACTCACCCTGTACCTCCATACTCACCCTGTACACTCACATACTCACCTGTACCTCACATATCACTCTGCACTCACATACTCACACCCTGCACTCCATACTCACCCTGTACACTCACATACTCACACCTCACATCTCACCTGTACACCACCTGCCCTTCTCCCTGACGTTGGAGAGCATGATGATGGTGTACACTCCTTTCCATCACCATCCTCCAGAAGTCCTTCACGGTGTTCAGCTTGGGGCCCTGGGTGGCGATGAAGTAAGGTCTCTCGTGTATGTCCTGTTAGGGGAAGAGGAGACAGCTGCGTCAGTAATAAACACCCGCACCTCCCTACCAAATTTCAGCTATTTTATCTACAAAACTGTGGACCGATTCTCACGGGTGGTCGTGGGGAGTAGGGGGTGGGGGGTTAGGATATATTCAATATATCATGGCCATCTCTTAGGATATTCATATCTTATTACAAAATTTCAGTTCTCTATCTTCAAAAATGTGGAAATGCTTAAACAACACACACACACACACACACACACACACCAGGGCTTATGCTGATATTGCAGGGTCGTATCAGCAATTTGGCAACATAAACTTCCTCCACCACTCACTGTCTTGTCAGCTTTCTCGATTACATATACCGCCATCTCGAGAAACGAAAACGTCTGTAGCTGTCGCCTTCATTGATTTCACTAAAGCGTTCGACCTAGTCGACCACAACATAAACAAAGCTATTGACCTCGGGCTTCGGAGAAATCTCATACCATGGCTTACAGACTTCTCAGTGACCGACGCAGCTGTACGCTTCCGAGGGCTGTCTCCACCTTCAGTCACTCACCTGTGGCGTCCCCCAAGGCACCAAGATGGGACCACTCTGCTTCCTTATGCTCATCAATGATGCCCTAAGAGAAACCCCCTCCGCTGGAAATATGTCGACGACTCCACCATTGGGATCAGCGTCAACCTGCTCCCAACTATACCGCCCTTCAGGATTTATTGAACAGTCTCCAAAACTGGGCCACCAACAACCATGTCACCATCAACCATACCAAGACCATGGTTATGCACATCAACCTCTCCTCCGACATTGTCCCACCTCCTCCATTACCCTAGGTCCGGAACACTCCAGGTTGTAGATTCCACGAAGCTCCTCGGCGTCACCATAGACAACAAACTAAATTGGACCACACGTCAGTGAAGTTGTCAAATCCTCCAGTTTCCGTCTCCACCTCCTCCGCCGACTCAAGTCCTCAGAGTTCCTGCTCACGAGCTCCTCAGTGTATACACAACATTCATACTTCCCAAGCTCACCTATGCCTCCCCACCTGGTCTTCCTCTAAATGCCACACAACGTAAACACCTAGAAAAAGTGCAAAAGAGGGCATGCAAGATTATTCTCCTTCCTCACACCACATATCAAGAAGCGCTCAACACACTGACCCTTTCGACTCTCACTGACCATCACCACGGCCTCATCTGCAAATTTTGTAAGAAGCTTACACCATCCCCGACACCGGCCCCTACTACCACCTGAGATCCCCTGTCCGAGAATTGTTCGACACCACAACCGCATCCAGCCCATACGTGCACGAACTGATCGCTATAAGAACAGCCCAGTCCCAACCATTGTAAAATTATCAATAACATGTAATAAATCAGTGTATTCACTCCAGTAAACACTGCCCCTACACTGTCACTATGTTGAAATGAACTGTAGTTTGAGCTGATCCCATCTAAGTTACTATACATCTAAGTTACTATATGTCTTATTTGTGTCACTTATGTCACTTGTATATTATTTGTAATTCAACCCATTCCCCAAATATGTAACTGTATATTTTCAGCCTTCTACAAGCTCTTCAATATATACCGTTAATTATTATTATTATTATTATTATTATTACACACACGCACACAGACAACATATAGTGTGTGTATTATTATTATTATTTTTTTTTTGCATATTAATAAGAATTAAAAAAGAATCTGTCTCATACGTTTGTGGTGAAAAATTTGAATTTTATATATGTTCCTTGTGTAATTGATTTTCGTATTAAATAATTTGGATTAATAATTACGTGTATTTAATCTGAGTATTCATTTAATTCCATCTTTACTGACAAGGAATTTCTTAAACTGATAAACTTTTTGTTGTTTGAGTTAGGTAAGATAACGTAAGATCTACCCCTTGTTGTGCCGGTGCTACCAAAACATACCAATCGCCTACTGCCCGAACCATTACCTACATTACCTTGTCTGGATAACAAAGCCTGAAGTAGGATATTCAAATGATTAGATAATATAGATCACGATACTGATAACTGCTGGTGTGATATCCTTAGTGACAGTAAATTGGTAATACCAGTTAATGCCGCGATATACTGATAAAAACAGTTGGATATCATTAATCTCCGCTATATACTAGTGGCATAACTGTGTGATACTGACCGTTGTCGCTATACAGTGGTAGCAGCAGTGGGACATATAAAAACCGCTGTACAACACAATATATTCTACATAACTAAATATATGTATATGTTAGGGCAGCTTTAATGTTTTTTTTCTGTTTAATTTGTATGTATAGTAGTTTCAGGGTTTATTTCTTGACTTGGTAAATGTAAAATGATAATGGCAATTAAACTGAGAGTAATGATCACTTATGACTAAACCTCTGGGATCGTGACAGTAGTACTAGGTTTGGCTTACCAGGACGTAGCTGGCGTTGATGTACTCAGAGCCCTCCACGCCGGGTATGGGAGACAGCTTCACCCTCGCGTGGTCGACTGTTGGAGGTCCAGGATAATGTTATAATGTATTACTACGCTTTAACAACTAAAGTCTTTAAGCATGTTTACTAAAGTGGTAATTACGCTTGTCATCAATAATTAATGGTTTATAGAGGTACAGTTCCTGGATACAGTGTGTGATGATGAATGAGTGTTCATATTAGTGTTACAAACTAATATTCACACATGACAAGAGTATTGTCGAAACGGCACCAAATATACATGACCCTGTTTGTCCATACGTTAGTGCTCTTTATAAATATACATATATTAAACTAAATATTGATAGTCGCAGAATAAGCTTTAAGAGACAACTGGAGTTTATGCCAAATAGAGAGAAAATTTACCGATTGGTTGACTCACCGAAAATATTTATCCTTGAGCCACACAGTCAGCTCCCACTCCCTTATATGCTTCACTAACGCAGCTTTCGACAAGTTCTTGGTTAACCATATTTGTTCAATTTGTACCTTGTAACTTTTACTCGCAAGGTCTCTGCATCTCTACAGGGTCTCTACAATGTCTCTACATCTCTACAGGGTCTCTACAATGTCTCTACAAGATCTCTACAGAGTCTCTAAGCATCACTACTGAACACACTATCTTAATTTTCAATGTTTTATTCAGTAATCATCATCTTCTTACACACACACACACTACGAAAAAAATAGTTTATGTAGATTAATAAGACAAAAATTATCTTCTTTAATTAAGCAGAATAATGACCCCACCAACAACACTAAACATGTAACGAATATATAAAATACTGAGACAAAATTATACACAGAAATTATGTAGAATAGCGACACAAATACAATCAAAATACAGTACTTACAGTTTTTCCATGTTAAGATTTACTGTAATTTATAATGACATGGAAACACGTAACTGATAATATTAATAGATTAAAATGAAACACTGGTGTGATACAGAACCTCACTACTGGAGGAAATATAATAGTCTAACCTTCACCCATCGCCGTGTCTCCGTTCTTTTAAAGAGTTTACACTTTCACCGCAGGTACAGAGACCAAAGAAGAAACAAACAAAACAAAAACAGAGAAACTCACACAGACAGAGTGAGACATACACACACACGACCATAGCTAGGAAGAAAAATACGCAAACATCCATAAGCAAAGAGATACACATACGCCCATAGACAGAAGGACAGACAGACATACACATTTACAGACAGAAAAACAAACAAGAATCAAAATACTAAAGCTGGGATGAAGGAGGATATCCAAACTACTCACATGGATAAATATTTTGGAAGCGGTTCTTGGGTTTATTAAAGTCCTTTCTGGCATGGAAGTGTGGGAAGCTGGGACTCTGTTCGTCAATTTGCGCTAACTCTGCATCGAGGGCACGATGGGTGTCCCCCTCCAGGTACTGAGTAGGTAGACAGCATAATCTTGGTACATTAAGTGTTTTCTACATGATCTTCAGTGTGTGACCAGAGGTTCACAAGGTGGAGGGGTGCTTTGATAGGTGGGTTGGTGGGTTGGTAAGGAGGTTGGGTGGGTGGGTGAACTGGCAGGGAGTCTGTGGAGACATGGGATGCCAGATAACCAAAGTAGGTAGGTGGGATGACTGTGAAACTAATGAGGAGGGCAGGTGAGCTGGCTGGAAACCTGTGTAGGTGGGTGAGCCCTGAGAGAACCTGGAAGGGTGGTTTGGGGGTGTAGCAGGGAGCCAGGGTGTGTAGGTACTCACTTCTTTGTGTTAGTCTTTGTCAGCAACCGTACAAGATTTCATACATGAACTCATAATATATATTAATTTATAGGATATTATACAGACAATAAACCTCGATAACTCGGCACACACGGGATCCTGGCCTTGCCGAATTATCCCAAATCCCGGCTTATCGAGGCACCCCCTACAAAATACAATAAAATACTGTACTGAAATATAAAAATGTCATCATTAACCAAAGGCTTTCACTAGGTCTCACAGTCATAGCCCAGACACAAGACCTACCTCGATATATTCGTGCAGCTCATTCTTCTTCACTTCGGTGCTGACGACGACACTCGGCGGACGAGATGTCATAGGCAACTCCGGCGGGGGTGACCTGCAGGAACAATACAGTAGTTTCGTGTCTGTGACCTCCACACTCCTTTAGTCTTTCTCACCATATTATTTGGTATGTGAAAAATGTATAATTAAATAAATAAATAAATAAATAATGAACCGGAGTTAATCAAGCCTCAAGAAGCGGTTCATGAACCAAAAGAGACAGGAGTCGTAGGCCAGGTTAGCAGGACACTCGCTACTGAAGCAATACAAGGGTTTAGACTCAACAACCTGACGCTTGAAATGAACGAGTGATGACTCCCCAAAATATACTCTGGTGGAGTATTTTCTCTGAACCATTACACGAGATTCCTGTAAACAGCGAGTTATAATTATTAACGGTCTATAATGTAAGTTAATCCGGGACTAAATCTGTACACATGACAACGTCCAGTTTGAGGTGTTTGTGCTGGCTCTGTGTTGTGGAGGAGCCGGGATGCTGTACTGTAACTTAATTTGCTTCAGAGCCGTTTTGTAAATGAGAAGTATTTTTTTATATAAATACACGCTCAAGAACCCCTGAAGCCTGACTTACTTACAGAAACATACTCCAATTAGGTTAGGTTAGGTTAGGTTAGGTTAGGTTAGGTTGCACTGGATTTGGTTCCTGTAAAAAGGATGTTGTGTCTTAATAAATACAATAAATCATAAACATTTAACTAATGTTGTAACCACCTATGTTTAACACCACATCACAATCTCTGATATATCACTCCGTTACGCTCCGTAAAAGAGTCGATGGAGGAGAGAAAACTACGAGTTGTTTCTGGTGTAAGATCACAAACACGAGAAACATTACGTGGGTGGTGTTCTTTTCTTCATCTTGTCCTTCAGTTTGTCCCTGAAGACGACAGCAGCGACTATGAGAGCCAACAGCAGGACGCCCACCACCACACCCGCCACGATGCCTCCAACATTGACGCCCTTGTCTGTGGTCACCGCGTCCCATACAGGTGGTCCAACACCTGCCGCCGTCCCCGCCTGAAGGTGAATGTGAGAACCAAAAATGACAAGAACGCGACAGTGTGGTACTGTGACATAAAGAATAAAAACTGTCATCACATTTATTATTATATCTTCACGGGTATTAATAATGTTCAGAGCAATGATGTTTTCAGAGAATAAGTATAACAGTGTAGGGTCTGGTGTTCATCCTGGCTGATTACCTTATGATAACATAGCTAAGGTTAGGTTAGGTTAGGTTAAGTTAGGTTTGATGAGTTCAAGAGAAGTTACATGACAATAAAGCAGATTTAGCTCCAATAAAATTAATTTATAAAATTGGAATTAGTTAATTTAACCGCCACACCGCCCCGTTAAGTACAGTACTGCGGTGTCCCTCAGGACTCATTTAGTTTAAAACTCGGGTTGAAACACGACGACCCTCTTCAAGGGAAGATGATGTTTAATAATACGGGCGTTAGTGCCAAAGGTTTTCAGAAGCTCTGTTCTCATTATTGAGGATATTGTCTATTGAACCGCATGATTTTAGGAATAATGAATAATAATCTTATCAACATAATATTACTGACAGAGTATTGTTCAGTTACCTACTGTAGGTGTACAGGGGGGTATATGTATAAGGCCTAGTATGTTGTATAAGTTATGTGGACCCATATGTATAAAATATATACATGTGGATCCACATAACTAGTGAGGGAATCAAACCCTGGACCTCTACGTGTGAGCAGGGATCACTACCACCACGCCACAAGGACAACAAAAGCAAATCTAGGCACAGGCAATCAGCACTGGAGGTTCACGGCGCTTAACAAGCACGTTGAACAGGCCTTGTGTGGAATAAAACAAAACCTAGGAATGCTTCTGTTGTCCTTGTGGCGCGGTGGTAGCGATCCCTGTTCGCACGTAGAGGTCCAGGGTTCTATTCCCAACTAGTGAGATATTATTTGTACAAGGAAGTCCGCGTGTTACATGGACGAATGATATATATATATATATATATATATATATATATATATATATATATATATATATATATATATATATATATATATATATATATATTCTATGTATGTGCTGTTACCATTACCTTGAATTGAAATATTGTCCAGCACCTGATAAACAAACGCGCCACCCAAACTACCATCAGGGTAGTAAATCATATCAACACGGGTAGGTACTAGGTCTGGCGGCTCACCCGGCAGTCTTACCAGTCTGGTCACACAGAGCGCACGTCTGCCCCGTGCTCTTGCCTCTGTACTGATACTACTCCTTCAGTGAACAAATTGTCTTATTACGCGTCAACTCCTGTCAACCTGTACCTAACCTAACCCTTTCCATGGAGCATTACGGTACTTAATCATCAGTAAATAACCCTGGGTTTCTCATCGTCAAGTGTTCTAAATTCTTATACCTGCATGAACCGAGACTCGATCTTTTTTTTACTCACAAATTATTCTAAAAACTCGGCTTATGTAAACGGTTATGAATACTAGATGCTAAAATTACGATTGGTCTCGGTCTCGACTTTTTACGGTCTCAAATGGCAATTTTCGGCCTCGTCCCTCAGGTCTCGGATTACATCACTGTTATAAATTGACAAAATAATATTGCACTTGAAGAGTAACAAAGTAACATTTTGCCTGTAAAGTAACACTAACATTTTACCTATAGAGTATCACTGTAACATTGTACTTGTAGAGTAACACTTTAACAGTGTGCCTGTAGAGTAACACTGTAACATTGTACCTGTAGAGTAACACTAACATTGTACCTGTAAAGTGACACTGTAACGTTGTGCCTGTAGAGTAACACTGTAACATTGTACCTGTAGAGTAACACTGCAACTTGTACCTGTAGAGTAACACTGTAACATTGTGCCTGTAGATTAACACTGTAACATTGTACCTATAGAGCAACACTGTAATATTGTACCTGTAGAGTAACACTGTAACATTGTGCCTGTAGATTAACACTGTAACATTGTACCTACAGAGTAACACTGTAACATTGTACTTGTAGAGTAACACTGTAACAGTGTGCCTGTAGAGTAACACTGTAACATTGTACCTCTAGAGAACACTGTAACATTGTACCTGCAGAGTAACACTGTAACGTTGTTCCTGTAAAGTAACGCTGTAACATTGTACCTGTAGAGTAACACTGTAACATTGTACCTGTAGAGTAACACTGTAACATTGCAACTGTAGAGTAACACTGTAAAGTTGTACTTGTAGAGTAACACTGTAACATTGTACCTGTAGAGTAACACTGTAACATTGTACCTGTAGATTAACACTGTAACATTGTACCTGTAGAGTAACACTAACATTGTACCTGTAGAGTAACACTGTAACATTGTACCTGTAGAGTAACACTGTAACATTGTACCTGTAGAGTAACACTGTAACATTGTACCTATAGAGTAACACTGTAACATTGTACCTGTAGAGTAACACTAACATTGCACCTGTAGAGTAACACTGTAACATTGTACCTGTAAAGTAACACTGTAACATTGTACCTGTAGAGTAACACTGTAACATTGTACCTGTAAAGTAACACTGTAACATTGTACCTGTAGAGTAACACTGTAACATTGTACCTGTAGAGTAACACTGTAACATTGTACCTGTAGAGTAACACTGTAACATTGTACCTGTAGAGTAACACTGTAACATTGTACCTGTAGAGTAACATTGTAACATTGTACCTGTAGTGTAACACTGTAACATTGAACTTGTAGAGTAACGCCAACATTGTACCTGTAGAGTAACACTGTAACATTGTACCTGTAGAGTAACACTAACATTGTACCTGTAGAGTAACACTGTAACAGTGTACCTGTAGAGTAACACTGTAACATTGTACCTGTAGTGTAACATTGTATAGTGAGTTGGACTGGAGGCCAGAGATGGTGTAGGAGGTCAGGTTGTGGGATAGGCTCTTGTTGTTGGCTCCCCAGATCAGCTGGTAGAGGGTCAGCTCACCGTTCAGCTGGACGGGTTCATCCCAACACACCTTGACGCTGCTGCTGCTCTTGTCTGTTAGGTTAAGGGAGGCTGGCGGCCCTGGTGCTGCCAAGGTAAAGTTTACTCCTCAATAAAACTCAAACATTTAGTGAAGAAACACAAGTTAGTTTCTCGGATCCTGCCAAACATCTTATTAATTTATCAACACAATAAATATTTTAGTTTTAACTCTTATAACAGAGAATGAATACGATATGTGGCCTTCATATAATGTTTTACACTTGACGGTAAACTGAAAAGTTTATTTTAATATTGATTTTGTTTATTGGTTAAAGTTCTATCACTCAAACACTTAAAGCTATTGTCTTATAAGCTGACTCCAGGGTAGTAGTGATGTTGTGTCACCAGTAACACCAAGATTCTCACCTGACTCCAGGGTAGTAGTGATGTTGTGTCACCAGTAACACCAAGATTCTCACCTGACTCCGGGGTAGTGGTGATGTTGTGTCATCAGTAACACCAAGATTCTCACCTGACTCCGGGGTAGTGGTGATGTTGTGTCACCAGTAACACCAAGATTCTCACCTGACTCCGGGGTAGTAGTGATGTTGTGTCACCAGTAACACCAAGATTCTCACCTGACTCCGGGTGGTGATGCTGTGTCACCAGTAACACCAAGATTCTCACCTGACTCTGGATAGTGGTGATGTTGTGTCATCAGTAACACCAAGATTCTCACCTGACTCCGGGGTAGTGGTGATGTTGTGTCACCAGTAACACCAAGATTCTCACCTGACTCCGGGGTAGTGGTGATGCTGTGTCACCAGTAACACCAAGATTCTCACCTGACTCCGGGGTAGTGGTAGTCATGTTGTGTCACCAGTAACACCAAGACTCTCACCTGACTCCGGGGTAGTGGCTTGGCAACAGTTCCAGGCACCAACAATGTTGTTGACAATCACTCCAGCTACACACACGTTGTAAGCCGTCCACGGTGTTAAGTTCCTCAAGTCCACATATATGGTGTCTGTGTCTCGTGAGCCGTGTGTATTGTCGTGTGACCACAGCACGTGACCAGTGTAGTTTACTGTATACCTCAGTACTGGACAACTTGACGTGATACTCGACCATGAGACGGTCAGGTCGTGAGGGGAAGTGGGCAGGTCACAGCTGACCTTCTGTGTTGCCTCTGGAGCTGAGGAACAATGGTCACGAGTGTTACATATGACTATATACTTACATAATATTAAGATATGTGATGTATTCATTTTGTATGAGTCTCTGTTGCAAGAGCGGTTGTCTATGAAAGGAAGAGACGTGAAAGGTATGTGTACTTTGTAATAATTAGTTTATTGTTTGTATTGGGTGTTAATTATATTGGTTCTATGTAACTCCTGTAATAATATAATATTATGTACTTATATAAAGAAGTTTTGAATTAATATTCTAATCCTAAAAGATATATTGATTGTTTATGTTGAGGAGCTGCATTCCTCCATGGGCAAATACAGGGTGTGGATGTGAGACCAGGAAAGTGATTGTTATCTTGTTTCATCCATTTTAGAACATAAGAAAATAAGGAGTCTGCAATAGGCCGGTTGGCCTGTGCATGGCAGCTCCTGTCGAGAGTTACTACCACTCTCTATCATCCATGAATCTATTTAGCCTCCTTTTGAAACTTTCCAGAGTTCCCGCACTTACTACAAAGTTGCTAAGCTTGTTCCACTCGTCCACCACCCTATTTGTGAACCAGTTTCTTCCTATCTCCCTCCTAAACCTAAACTTACCCAACTTGAATCTGTTGTTCCGAGTCCTCTCCTCTTTGGATATTATAAGAACTTTATCTATATCCCCTTTATTGATTCCTTTCACCCACTTAAATACTTCTATCATATCTCCCCGCACTCTTCGTCTTTCTAGGGAATGCAAGTTAAGTTTCTTTAACCTATCCTGATATGGAAGGTTTCTAAGTCCCGGAATCATTTTTGTCATTCTTTGCTTACTAACATGGTTACTAGTCACTACTATCTCGCTTAATCTATTTTCTTCACTATCTTTGTATACAATCGGTGCCTCTGGTATCATGTTTAAATTTTCGGTGGTGAAAACTGTTAAAAAATGCCCATTCAGATTATTGCTCATTTCTCCGTCGTTATCAGTTAGCTCGCCGGTATCTGACTGTAGTGGTCCAATTTTGTCTCGTGTTTAAATTTGATACATTTGGAAGAATCATTGGTGTTTGACTTCGCCTCCCTTGGTACCTTCAGTTCATTATTCCTCTTTGCTTTTATTATCTCGGTCTTAACCCTACTGGCCAATACCTTATAATAATCTCGGCAATTTATCCATTTAGGGCCATTGTTGTTTGATCTGAGTTTTCTGTATGATATGCTCTGCCTTTGTGCATTATATAACTCATTATTTAAATTGTTTGGGAACTCGTCAACCTCAGATCTCGTGGTCAGGTCACCCTCAATCATCATATTTTGTGAGGTTATCATTATCAGGTCTCCAGGTAAAGTGAGGTCGCTCCCTATGGGTACATTGTGTGGGTCACCCCTTCTCTCAGCTGCCTCTTCAAAGTATCAAAGTTTGCCCTTCTGAAATCTGGGAATTTATAATGGAATTTTCCTTGCGACTGCCATTAAATTCTAATTTGAATCGTACTTCTTTGTGATTCCTGTTTGCAAGTTCGTTCTCTACCTCGACATTACTAATGAAGTTTTCTCTGTTTGACAGAACTAAATCGAGTATATTATTACCCCGGGTGGGTTCGGCTATATGTTGACTTAGGAAACAGTCCTGAACTGTTTCAAGAAAATCCTCTGATTCTGAGTTACCTGTAAGATCGATCCCATCTAGATGGCTAAAGTTAAAGTTACCTACTATACAGACTTGCTATATCTGGATGCCCTGCGCACTTCATCCCAAATAAGTCTCTCATTAACTCTATCAAGATTAGGATGTTTAAATATTACTCCTGTGATTAATTTTTGCCTACCATCAATTAATTCTATCCAAATTGTTTCTGTATTACGCTCAGTTTTTATTTCCTTATTTATTTCACACTTCATATTATCCCTGACATAGATTGCTATTCCGCCTCCTTTCCTAATCTGCCTATCGGTATGGAATAATTTTTAACCTTTAATTTGGTATTCGACAGGTAACTCACGTGAGTCTAAGTTTATCCATGTTTCGGTGAATGCTATTACAGGTACATACGAACGCCCTAATTTCATCCATTTTGTTTCTCATACTCCTACTGTTTGCGTAGTAGACATTTAAGTTAGTCGTGTTCTGAATCCTCTCTTTGTCGGGTTTAGGTTTTAACTCCCTGCCTAATTTAGTTTTGTCATAATTCTTAGCACTATTTCCCTGTAACCTTTCACTTTGTTTACCCTCTCCCACTGCAGTCTCCTCCACCCCCGTGCTCATATGTTCCCCTGGCAGTTTAAAGACTTCGACAGCTTTTGAACGGTCCTCTCGAGAGAGCCAGCCACCTCCCACAACTCCATTCCTCCTCCCACCAAGAAAACAGTGCAGTGATCTATGAGCAATCTGCGACTGATACTAACGTGATAAACACAATTGAAAAATCCCTGAACAACAGTGTTGTACTGCTACTAAAATCCACCTATTAAGAGGCACTCAGTACACTGACTCCCTCTGAAAACTATCCTTCCCCATCTATTAGTTTGGGACAGTTTCTGCACCATTCCTGCTAAAGCCACCAGCCACCTTGGGTGTTGTTGTTGTTGTTGTTGTTGTTGTTGTTGTTGTTGTTGTTGTTGTTGTTGTTGTTATTATTATTATTATTATTATTATTATTATTATTATTATTATTATTATTATTATTATCATTAATATTATTATTATTATTATACACAAACCCATGCAGGATAAAAACACTTGGTGTATGAAGGAATAAACCGGTGATATTACAAATGAAAAAAATATAAGAGTTCATTCGTGTTAAACTCACGCTTAGAACCTGTAGTACCATTGGCGTCAACACAGTCACCATAACCTTTGATAGTGGCGGCCTTGACAGTGATATTGTAGAGGGTACACGCCTCCAGGCTGGTGATAGTGTACTGGGTGATGTTTCCAGTGACACCGGGCACGACCGACGTGTTCCAGGTAACACTGTAGTTTGTTATGATGCCTCTGGGCTTCTCTGGGGGCTCCCACACCACCAGTAAAGAGTCTGAAGTTGTAGAATGTATCCGGGTGATGGCTGGAGGTCCCGGGGCTGGAGGACAAAATTACATAAAACTGTAGTTAATAATAATATGATAAAGTCCTTAGTTTAATATAGTCCTCTGTGTACTTACAGGGATAAGTAATACCATTACTTTATAAGTGTGAACCCTGGAGGCAAAGCCGCTTATTTGTTTAACTTCAGCTGTTGAGCCTCCAAGTATCCTGACCAGGACTGAACACCTTCTCTTAATACCATCAACAGTTTTCTTCATTCTCTCAACTTTCTCTGCTGAAGTATATTTCATCAACATGGTTTAGACTGCAAACACCGTAATGCTCAGTTTATCTTATTTGGTAGTTTTAACAGTGACTGTTGAAGGAGTTTTGGAGGAGTTAAGACCAGTGTTCTCTCATGATAGTGACACATCTGTATGGAACTTGTGTTTTATGATAAATATATCAGACATGACCAGACCTTTTACTGAGTACTCCGTCTAGCACACTACTATGAGCTGGACACACCCGGGCCTACTGTCTCGCACACACAGACACACAGCTGCTCCTTCACCTACACTACAGTTATTTATATCGGTACAAGAATACTTACAAATAATCGTACTGGTACACACACACACACACTATATTCATTTAGATACACACATACACACAAACACACTTTTCCTTGTAAAGTTACACACAAAAAACACAGACACAAACATACACGCGAGTATTCACACAAGTGCACGTACAGTACGTCTCACCATGGTGACTGTGTGGTCGACGCGCCAACCCTGAGGTGACAGTGACGTTATAGTGTACTATGACTGCACGACACTGTTACAGGACTGTTTAAACTATACATCATACATAACATGTATATAACGTAAGTCTACATGTATATCTGATAAATTTAGACGACAGGTTGTATACCTTCATTCCTTAATGTTCGTCTTCACATATAGAACATACCACAGCGTTTGCTTTAATATTTTACATAACAAAGTAATATTTACTGTACTATATTATATGTTCTTTACCCTGGAGATGAAATATTGTGATTAATGACTTTTTGTGGTTCCCATAACTGTGAAATAATTCAATTTCTACAAGTACTGTAGAGTGACTCGATTCCATGCCCTACTCACCACAACTCATTTGTATACTTCAATAATTTATTTGTATAGATAACAAATGTGTATCCGCACGTCAATCCACCGCCATTCTAACCTGTTGTTGACCAAACGCTTCCTGTGACTCTTATTCTAAATCTTTCATCCAAGATAACACGAGCTAAACTAACCTATCGAAACTAACCTAAGATAACCTAACCCAACCTAACGATGACACGATATCTTTAATTGTGGTTAATTTAAGTTAGGTTAGGTTAGTTAGATTTAGATGGTTCATCTTGGATTAATGATACATTGTACCGAGTCGTTGTTAAGCGTCTGTGTGTTTACAACAGATCAAATGGAAATGTGGCAGCGGATAAAACGATTACTCGCCCAACACTTACGGGAGGAAAATGACGAAAACTAAAATATGAAAATAAAACTTCTTGTTATTGGTCTGCTGTTTTCTCGAGGTAAAGAATTTATCTTGTATAGAGAACTGATCTAACTCACAGTAGGTGCTCGAGAGAGCTAAGTGAAATATTACCAATAATTTAGTAATGTTTTGTTTCTCTGATGTTTTATTGGAGTTGGTCACGTCCGGTCATCTGGTGTAATATTTCAACTTCCGGAAAAACTCACAAATATACACTACAGTACAAGTAATGTATCGCAGAGGTCGAGTGGCTACAAGACGCGGCCGAGCCTGTAGGATGGATATATTACTTGGGGGAAGTGAACGGCTGTAGAGAACAATACTGTTACCTTGTACACCGACAGCTAAGTGTTCAGTGTGTTGCTCCACACTGCCTGTGGGACCCACTCTCACACTGATCCCTTCTATAGTGGTACAGCAGGTAGTAACTAAACACTACCCTACTACCATGTACTACCACCATATACTACCATGTACTACCACCATATACTACCATGTACTACCATTACCAGCACCACGTACTGCCACCATCACCACCACCATGTACTACCACCATTATCACCACCATGTACTACCATTACCACCACCATGTACTTCCACCATCACCACCACCATGTACAAACATTACCACAACCATGTACTACCATCACCAGCACCATGTACTGCCACCATCACCACCACCATATACTACCATGTACTCACCATTACCAGCACCATGTACTGCCACCATCACCACCACACCATGTACTCACCACACACCACCATGCACTGCCACCATCACCACCACCATACTCAGCACAAACACCACCATGTACTACCACACCACCACCACCACCACCACCCTCATTATCACCACCATGTACCACCACACCTCACCACCCCACCACCACCACCATTACCACACCACCATGTACAACCACCACCAACCAACCATGCACCACCACCATTACCAGCAACCACACCACCAACCACGCACCACCACCACACCACCACCACCCCACCATGCACCACCACCATCACCACCACCACCACCACCACTCACACCACCATGTACCACCACCATTACCACCGCTCATCACCACCATTACCACCAAGCATCACCACCATTACCACCACCATGTACTACCACCATGTACCACCACCATTACCACCAATTCATTACTGTTCTCATACACCATGTACCACCAC